GCTAGTTCTCTATTTCACTATTCCAATCCCTTTATAAAAATAACACCTAACCCGAGTTTCAGTTTGCAGCGCTTTTTTGGTCCGGGTTTACCACGTAAAGTGGTACTCGTCAGGGTGTCCTCTCTCTCTCTCTCTCCTGTTTTTAACCTAGTCATAGATTTGGTTCCTCAAACAGCCCTCCCCTCTTGTGCGAGAATACCTTTACTTGTAGTTCAACTGATCTGGCCCATAAAAACAACATTTTCCTGCCAAACTGATTATGCCTAGCAGTGATATTGTAGCCATGTTCAGCTTGTGTTTTGCACTTTCAAAGTGTGAACTGGTGCCACAGGACTGGGTTGGTTCACACGTACACAGACACAACCTTATAATTTGGGCAGCTACATCTCATCCGGTGGACACATGACCAGTGAAGTTTTGGCACGCATACAAAAGGCTCGGTTGTTTGCATTTGCCAACTTGACACATCTCTAGAACTGTATCGGCATCCACCTGTGAAGGAGCGAGGATATGTTGCTGCAGTTCAGTCTATGTTGTTGTATGGCGCAAAAACTTGGCGATTGTGAAAACAAGCTAAAGAAAAACTCTCGGAGTTCGAACAATGGGGTATGTGCCGCCGTAATGCTGAGGTTAGATGTAGAATTTCCGGTACTCGTGGTCGTCCACTGGAGCTAGTGATCACGGATTGCGTTGGTTCGGATGTGTTACGCATTGCCACGGATCGCGCTGTTTGACAAGGCGTGTGATAGATGGAAAAAAGTCCAGGATGATCAAAGCGAGACTTGACATAACTTACTCACATAGACCGCGTTACGCTTCCTGGATGGGGACATCGGGGTCATTCCAAGCAACGGTTAGATGCACTGAGTGCTCTGGCCAATTGTTGTACACAGTGGTGCACCAGCCACTCGTGGTAACCTTGGTCTTCAGGAATTCTCTACTACTGACTTGAGTATTCTAATATTCTCTCTTCACTGCTACCCGATGCATGTTTGCAAAAACTGATTAGTACTAAAACTGGGAATGAAACCACCGCAAACATGTTGCCTCAACGCCTGTGTTCCGAGCACATTCGAAAAAGAACAATATGAACGTGATTAGCCTACGGGGTGATAAATACGATCCGACTATAATGTTCTTTGACTATATGACTCGTAAATTGATGAATATCGTTTACGTCGTTAGTTTCCAAAGTACCACTGGAGGAGAAAAATTTCGTTCTAAATGAAAGGGTTTCCTCCATTCTCTCTCTGTGTGTGTGTTTAGGAATCGAGGAATCGAGCTAATGTGTTCTGGTCAGTTCCCATAAATCACCTAAACGGTTTTGGTTTAAAACCATAAAGTATTTGCCGATTGACTGTATTTGACCATCGTTACTTTTTGGGATTTGACAACAGTATGATTGATTGTTAGCACCTTGTGTGAGATATATCATATTGAGTTCGTCACTTAAAGGACAGATTTGCATGAGCTTATTATTGCTCTTATAGAATGAATAACGTTTTGTCTAAAATTTGGGCTTACATTCATTTTTTGTATGCAATGGTGCGTGCTGAAAGAAGTTCGTATTTGGTCTCTTTTACGGGGTTGAGCACATTGTACGTAACTTCTTCACGCAAATAGAAGTCTTCACTACGTATTGTGCTGACATGAGTCAGGTTTAATCTGTTATACCTGTTTTGTTTTGTTTCGTAACATTTCTAGAAGGGGGATGCAGCCATACAAAGGCTGCCTAAGGAAATACCGAATTAAATAATCCTGCTGCGTTTACTTGATTGGAATGGATGACACCTGAGATGTACGGTGTTAACCGGTAGAGACAAAGTTGGTCGCGTTTATGAATTACCCATTGAAATCGATGTCTCAAACTTCACGGGACTGAGACGAATCGTAAAAAGCATTTGTTGTTTCAATATATATATATATATATATATATATATATATGGGTTTTGAAATCTATTCGTTTGGGCAGTTCGATTGTTCTTTTTTGCAAGACTTTGAAATTCTTCAAAGCACCACCACTACCACCAGAAGCACTACAGCAAACTCATTAATTGTACAATGAGTGTTCGAACCCCGCCATCGCCTTCTGTTTCAGTTTCAGTTTCAGTTTGAACAACCATTAACCATGCGCTTTCGTGCCCGGTTTTGGTTGCTG